GTTGAAAGCTGCTGATACAGATCTTTGGCCGGGGAGTTCTAAGACATCTCAGTTGTCTGCAGTTGCGCGCTTGTTGAATATTAAGTCAGAGCATAATCTATCTGAGCGTTGTTACGACACCATATGTCAATACATCAAAGACATTCTCCCGGAGGACAACTCAATGGTGAATGACTTTTATGAAACTAAAAAGATGATTGAAGGTTTGGGTCTTCCGGTCCAAAAGATTCATTGTTGTGTTCTTGGATGCATGTTATATTGGAGAGGCGATGAAAGTCTTACCGAGTGCAAGGTGTGTCATAAGCCACGCTATAAAGACGAGACGTCTAAGATTCCGCACAGACAGATGTTCTACTTTCCGCTTACACCGAGGTTGAAACGCTTGTATATGTCCAAGCGTACGGCGGGGGCAATGAGGTGGCATGCCACACATCGACACACAAACCAAGATGAAATGTGTCACCCTTGCGATTCTGAGGCATGGAAAAGATTTGATGCAGACCATCCTTCTTTTGCTTCAGAAATGCGCAATGTGCGCCTAGGACTATGCACGGACGGGTTCCAACCCTTTGGCCAATCAGGGTCCCAATATTCATGTTGGCCCGTAATGATTACTCCTTATAATCTTCCCCCTGACATGTGCATGAAAGAAGAACATATTTTCTTGTCCTTAATTGTTCCTGGGCGGTCTAATCCGAAGCAGAAGATTGACGTTTACTTGCAGCCATTGATTGAAGAGCTAAAGACCCTTTGGAGTGAAGGTGTTGAGACCTACGATGTGTCACTCAAGCAAAATTTCAAAATGCGTGCTGTCCTCATGTGGACAATCGGTGATCTCCCTGCATACGCAATGATGTCTGGGTGGAGCACGGCCGGGAAGCACCAAATAGATTTGGAACGGCCGATTGTGTTCAGCTGCAGAGGTAAAGCTCAGACCTAGCAATTCTGGTTTTCTCTCGTCGGCGTGAAAATTCGCACAAACAGATCTGGAACGGCTGGCAACAACAGATTTGTTTTTTTTTGTTTTTTTTTTGGGTGTTGAAATCAATGAGAGCACCAATGATACGAACTCCGTATCGGATAGGGAAGACTCAGAGCGTCTTCGAGCTCTTGAAAATATGGGATGAGGGAGAAGAAGAAGAATTGAGGCGAAGAAGGAATCGGCGAACCGAGAGGGGAGAAGGAATTAGGGTTTTGAGTTGTTTATTGATTGAATTATTCTAAAGGAGTTACATCTCTATATTTTTGAGACAAAGTAACCCTAGCTAACCCTAAACCTAACCTGACGGTTCAATAAAAGCGACGAGGGAAAGAATCGTAAAGAAACCTGGAAGGAGCTTATAATTTCGCTCACCTAATAAAATCTACATTACAATAATAATAATAATATTAATAATAATAATAATAATATTAATATTAAACTAATAAATATATAATCTAATATCCTACTATATAATCCATAACACGAACCTACTCTGATACAATGCTAAAATTCCAGTGGGTCTATAACAACGAGCACAGTATCGGAAAAAATTAAGCATTTGCATATAAAGTTGATATTTACTTTATAACCCAAAAGGTTAAGCTAAAAAATAAAGTTTCATCATTCTATATACACGAATGGTATTTCACTACTTTTTTTTGTAGAAAATCGAACATGGAGCCACTTTTAATATTTAAAAATTCTAAGCAAATCATTAAAATCTATAAAGTTCTTACTTCCAATGTATTCAAATAAATATGTTCGATACAATCACAAGAACGGGCTTTTAATTGGGTTGGTTCCTTTATATTGTATCTGACATCCATATTTAAAAAGTTAAGTTTCGTGTACAAGTTTCAAAGTTGTTGTGCCTGTATATGAGGAAACGTGTTAGAATATAAATAAAAACATTTTTTAAGTCTATAACTACAAGTTTGAACATTTGATTGAATTGATTTATTTATAGAATTGGTTAGAGTTATTTGGGGTACAATTCGTTTGCTGGTCAAGTTGGGGATTTCGGGAGAGCTTTTCTTTTTCTTTTTTTAGAGTTTATTTTGGGAAAATTATTATGGAACAATTTCTAAATGAGCCTGCTCTAAATAATTTTTAAATTGTCAAAATGTCTCTTATACTCCGTCCTGCGCAAGAATTACAAATCAGTAATTATTTTATTTACAAATCGATATATTAATAAGAAAATAAAAAAAATATTAGAAAACTACGTCAAAAGTTTTACAAAACAATGGATGACAAGAATGTTTTATCTTATCCAATACTTAATGAAATCGCGTAAATAAACAAAAGTTATAAAGATGAGAGAGAAAAAAATTATAATAAAAATGGAGACGGAAAGAGTATTTGGTTTGTACCATCTTTCCTCACGAGCCCTACCTTCATGAGTAATGTTAGAGTCACAAACATCTTGGACACAAATTACACAAACATACTATTTGTGTATTGTCCCAAGTGAATAAAATGAATATAATTTAAAAATAAAAATTTAAATACACAAATAACAAGTTTGTGAAGTTTGTGTCCAAATTGTTTGTGATTCTAGCATTACTCTACCTTCATTCCTTTTCACATTTAGACTATTAATGAGGTCCAAGATTGGTCCCACATAAATAGATATACCATACGGAGATCCAGCGACATCACAATAACTCTGAAATTCCTTTCCAGTAGACACAATAACTCTGAAATCCCTAATAATTTATCTTCACAACGTCTAATATGATTGTTAAAAAATAAAAAGATGCACTCCCTCCATTTCAATAAACCTTCACCCCCTTTTGACTTTTAATCAAGAGTAAATTTCATAAAAGGTCAGTTATAGGTCGTTTTACATATTTAGTCTATACATATCAAATATTACTAATTTAGTCCCAATTATTATATCATTTTTCACGAATGATCCTTTGTTAACATTTTTGTTAAGAACATCGATAAAATTGTATATTCATGCTTCTCTCTTTCCTCAATTAAACTTCCTCCCTCCTCTCGTACTCTTTTCCAAACTCGTCGCTGAGTTTGAAGCTCTAAACCCAAAACTGAAATGATCATTCATCTCTCAATTATTAGTCTTCCTGGTAAACCTAAAATCAAAATCAATAAAATTTATTGATGAGTTTTATCGGTTAGTCTCAGGAAATTGCAAAGAAAATAAACATTAAAACTCATTCATGAAGGTTACTGGTTTTGAATTTGGATTCCACAAGTTAGACAAACAATTGAGAGAAGAGTGATGATTTCGGTTTTGGGTTCGAATCTTCAAACTCTGCGCCGGTTTGAGAAAGGAGTGCGAGGGAAGGGAGGGGGCTTAATTGAGGAGAGAAAAGAATGTGAATTTACAATTTTATCCACGTTCTTAACAGAAATATTAATAAAGGACCATTCATGAAAATGAATATAATAATTGAGAACTAAATTTGCAATATTTGATATGTAAGAACTAAATATGTAAAATGACCTATAACTGGGGATCTTTTATGGAATTTACTCTTTAATCAAAATAAGGAAAATATTTTTATAGTTGACTTTTCAATTATCCCTGA